CTCTCTCTCTCTCTCTCTCTCTCTCTCTCTCTCTCTCTCTCTCTCTCTCTCCTTCCTTCCCTCCTTCCTTCTTCCTTTCTTTCTTTATGAGGTGTAAAATTTTGAGATTTTTGTACGAGCACAGATCCCATTACCTGGTGAGAATTGCTTTGATGTTTGCTACTGATGTCTGTTCCCCATCTCTGTCTCTGTGAAGGTTCTAAAAGCCACTCGAGGCTTTTCTAGAGAGGGGGCAAGTCTCCTATCTTGAGGTATGTGTGGAGGAGATAGCCGGTAACTTCCTTTTCAAGACACTGTGCCTTCCTGCCTTAGGCAGCCTGACTTCAAGGGACCTTCCTCTCGGGACTGATCGGCAGTTCTGGCTTCTGAACTGCTCTTTGCCCATGTCAGGGTTCCAGCGTAGGGTGCTGCTCCTTCCTGGGAACATAAAGCACATGGCTGTGTGACCCACTGGGGGCAAACTCCTCATCCATCATGACATCAGTCTTAGTCCAACATTTGGACCATGTCTGTCAGGGCAAGGTGAGAAGTGGACAGGGGCTTTAGGAGAGTTTTGGAGGAGTGGAGATGTAGTCCTTGAAGCAATGGGGAAAGGCACTTCAGGTGATAGACTGAGAGCAAAGGCTGGGAGCTGGGCGAAGCCTTTTCACTAGCAGGATAAGAGGTGGCGTGCTGAGGAGGGGAAGGGGGCAGTGGGACTCTCAAGGGGCCACTGTGGGACTGACCTCCACTCTGAAGCTCTGAGTGTGAGAAGTAACAGAGCCTCAAGTATGGCTCCCAAACCACTGGCCATCTTCTCTCTCACCCCTATCCCTGCTGGAGGAGAGAAGCTACAGCAAGACACTTGGTCCCTGCTCTCTGGGCTGTCACCCTTGTCCCTTGGGTGCAGCTGGTTAGACAGCAACTCTAATCCCTTTGGACCTTAGCACAGGTTGTCACTTTCTGTCAGGTGTGATCCCAATCCCCTCACCCATCTTGACACCACCCGGCAGACACAGAGCTAGAACGTCTGCATCTTTTCTCTTGATGGCCGAGATCACTGTTGCGACATTGTGTCAGCATCATACTGGACGTCGTGAAGACTGCAGGCTCAGGAGAGTTGGGAAGTGGGTAAAACTCCGCCAGGCCTGTCTGCCTGAAGTCTAGGCTCTACCCACAGGCGCAGTGCCAACAAGCTACCTGTGCAGGCCAGGGCATGTGCATGCATTGTTGAGCAGGACTCATGAAAATGTCCTGTGGTTTTCATGTTTCCAGTGGCCAGCTTGCTCCATCTGGCCCCATTCCTGAACTCTCGCATGCCCAGGCCATCACCACAAGTACCTGGGAGAGTGCAGGCCAGGAAGAAATTGCATCTTCAAGGAAAATATTGTTTTGTATAATTCAGTGGCCCATTCTGTAAACATTGTGGTTCTGCCTCAGGGTTTTTCCTGCCTGTCTCTTGCCTCCTGCTCTTCCAGGGAGCACCAGGCAGCCAGATGCCCAAGGTTAGGAAAATATGTACTTTTGGTGGATTGGCTGCTGTAAAGAGTGACAGGATGGGCTTGGGGACTTTACCAGGTGTGTCAGAGAGCCCAGGAGTAGGGCTGATTGGAGTCTTCTTCCAGAGATTTGCAGAGAAACTGAGTGTGTGGATGCACACGTGCGTTTCTGTGTGTTTGTGGATATTCATGCATGAGTATGCATGTGTCCATGTGGTGGCAGGAGCAGGGGTGGGTGGGATGGGGTAAAAGGTGGGAGTGAGTGTGGGTGAAGGGCATGTGCAGCTCTCTTCAGGAGCTAGATATGAAGTGAAATTGATATACTGTCTACCAGCCAGGTCAAACAGCTGAACATTTACAGGGAGGGTCGAAGGGGCTCACAGAGGGGCAAGACCAATGCCTCCATGGGGCAGAGGTGGCCTTCTGCTGTTCAGGAGAGTAGCTGGAGGCAGGCTGACACTCAATACTGCTGTCAACGTGCTTTTCCAGTTATGAAGTGGAGGTTGGGTTCTTGGGCAGGGTTGGCTCTAGGCCTTTAATGGAAACATCCTGGGGTTTTTCTATCTGATAGACTAGGACTGTAGACTTGGGATAAAGGGCGTGGACACTGTAAGGTGCATGTGGTGTGCTCCAGAGCTGGTAACCTTCCCAGAGGCAGGCAGAGGTGACTCAGGACGGTCTGACTGTGCTACCTGACTGCCTCTCCAGAGGGACCAGCGGTCATCTGAGAGGAGACAGACAGGGAGGAGGAGGAGGAGGAGGAGGAGGAGGAGGAGGAAGGCAGCCCAAGGAAGGAAGCTGAATCCCTGTAGAGGTGGTGAGCAATGCCAGGTCATCGACCCATGTGATACCAAGCACCATCTACAGCCCTGGAGCCCCAGGCCGGTCCCCATCTTTTTTCTAGCCTCATCATCCCCTGTAAGACCCATTTATGGTGCTGGAGGATCACAGGGCTGTAGGGAGACAGAGATGGGGTGACAGATGGGGAAGGATAGGGGATCAGCACACAGAGTGCAGATGGGCAATTGTACAGAGGCAGGAGCCAGGGGTGAATGACTATCATCATCCTTGAAAGGCAGAGACCGGCTTGGGAGTCCTGTCCTGGGAGATCCCTGTTTTATTGTATGACCCCTCCACAATGGACACTCCAGACATCTTTATGGTACTCCAAGCCACTCATAGGTCTTAGGCACATCCTGCATAGGGTCAGGAAGAGAGGACAGGAGAAGCCTCTCTGTCACCTCCACTGTCCCATCCATTACTGTACCTGGGACCCCAGGGGCAGCTCCTGTTTGCTCCTGGGGTCCCTGATAAGTGATCCAGGATTGAGCTCTCACAGTGTGATATTCCTTCTACAATTGTTATGACCAGATCGCAGGGACCCCCAAAAGACCACCATGGAGACTGAATCCCGTATGTAAAAGCAAAGAGCCTTTATTTTCAAGCTTGGAGCTTGGACTCTGCCTGACACAGCAGTGAGAGCAGAGCCCTGAGCCCAGGCAGGGCGGGGTTTTTATCATAGCAGAGGTTGGGGTGAGGGGATTTCCAGGGTTCAGGACCCTGATTGGCTGACACTTGTCTAGGGGTACGGGGGAATGTTTGGAATGTCAGGTATTTTCCCTTAGATGCAGGCCCCACGGGGTGGGGTCAGCTTATGGCTCTTCCTGGGTCCAGGTGTTGCCTGCCAGAAGCTGTGTCTGGGCCTCTAAGCCTGTCATGGCAGCTGTGTGGTCCAGCTGTTTTGGGCCCTCCCACACATCCTCTGTTTCCTTGTCTGTAAGATGGGACTGGGCAAGCCTGCGGAGTTCCAAAGGGCGCAAAGTCAGCGAACCACGGTCATGCCCACCTGGCATCTGCCCACCTGGCACCTGCCCACCTGGAGCCTTCCTTCTTGTAGCCTCAGTTGATACCCTCTCCTGGGTGTGGCGACTCTTTGTGGCCACTAAGGAGCAGGGCAGCTGCCTTTTTTTGTCCCTTCTTTCCTTCCTTCCTTCCTTCCTTCCTTCCTTCCTTCCTTCCTTCCTTCCTTCC